CAGCCATTGCTCCAACGGAAGGAGGGTTGCTACGATCCAAGGACGTGGCGAGTAGCAGGCTTTCGCAGAAGGCATGTGGTCTGTAGGTCCCAGCCAGGGCGACTGGAGCGGCTTGCTCATACGAATGTAGTTGCAAGGTAGCATCAAAAGGCTGTTATATATGAAGAAATTCTCAATATATACTCTAAGTCGGCCTGTGACCTACTGCTATTGGTACGACTTACCTACCTAACAAGGCGAGTGAGCAGGCGTAGCCTCTAATTTTTCCAGATATCCATATTTAGCCAAGGTACTGAATACAGTGTAGGTTACATCTATAGCATCCCCATGAAAGACGGCTTCTGTGTCCTTGATTCCGGACTATTCTCAGGCTGCTGTGTTCCGGCTCTTGCATTGCGAACGAACAAAAACAGCGAGTTCATACATGTTTCACTCCATGCCTGACCGCGATCTTGATTAATGTTGAGATGACAACTGGTGATGATCGACGGTTGCTGCTCTCAGCCAGCCAGTATCCATGCGGTTCATTGCATACATGCCTCGAGCATGATCAGTACTCGCCATATTTGAGAGCAGCGATCGACACCTCTTGCCATGGCATCTTCCAACGCGCAAGGGCAGAAGAGTAAAGAAAAGGAGACTATTCAAGATGCTCAAGATGCGCGCAACCTTGACCTCTTTCGCCTGTGCCTGGATTGTCAACTTTATATTCCATGCAGGATACAGAACAAACATGGCATGACAACGAACCTATTTCATATTCAACACACTGGATTAGTGTGATCTGTATTAGTTAAAGGAGTGCCATTTGTGATTTGTAAGAGCAAATAAGGATAAAAATTCAGAATGAGGGACAGGGATTAACTACCACAGGGTCACGACTCTCACGAGTTGGATTAGGCAATCTCCTGCACTGCGCCAACCTCATACTTTTAATACCACAGTAAATCGGCTCCACATCTGCAAAAGAGCCACAAAAATACTTGGGCAGTGTTACTTGTTCAAACGTTAAAGTAGTAGATTTGCTCTCAATAACACGCAATAGAGGACTGACGTGCAGTGATGGTGAATTAGCACATGTATGTTATACATTAAGCGGTTTCATTGGCATCAGATGCATCATAAAACTAACTGGTGCGCAACTGCCAGACAATGCTGTGGTTGAACCAATTGACCCGTCACTTTGTATTCTTCTTAATGCTTGGCTGCATAGCTTGGTGGGTCTAGCAGTTAGGGTTAAGGTCAACCATGAAATAGCGTCTTCTCCTTGAACTACGCTCAATTATGATGGCCCACTTAATGGCAAGATGACAAACGTCCTGCCAATAACGGAGCCCACGAGCAATTAGAAGACACTCTTGCGGACACTGGATAGCAAAGCACTTCCTTGGCCATCTTGATATTAACCCCACCAATGGGTACCCTCAGGAAAAAGCCTGTGGAGGACCCTGGGCACTGTCAAGGGTGGCTAGTCTGGCACAGGTGAAGTCTCGCTAGGGGGTAATAACAACAGTCTTCAAGCATAATGGTTGTCCTACGGCTGTTCAATACTTATATATACCCCACGTAGAAGCAACACTGCTCCGATAAAATTTCCTCAAAGGCGGCAAGGCACAATGAAGCTGGACTCAATTATCCTTTACATTCTCTCTGCAGCGGTTGGCTCAGTAAGTGGGTTCTTTCTCTGTCACTGACAGAGATTCTTTTTCTGTTGCTAACTGTTTCTCCAGGTGGTTGTTGTCGAAGATGCTTCTCTTATATATGACGCTAATATTAACAAACTGGTATTACCTATCACCCTACGACAAATACATTGACGATGTCTGACAGTAAAGGTGTTAAATACAACTACCTTCCCAGCGGTGCACCATGGATATGATAAAAGTCTCCCGCCAAGAGCGTCTGTAAGTAAAAGAGATTCTGATGACGGCAAAGCTAATGAGTGTATGCCTTCAGGATACTGAGCTAACTTGCTCTCTTCATTATGGATTGGCCAGTGTAAATGAGATAATTGCCAACATTGGCCATCTCTCCGATGTCGCTGATTCCACGTGCAGTGTGCCTGCAGCTACTTGTGCGCGTGTATCTCATGAAGGGGGCTCGTCAATTTTCTTCTGCAACTTTGTATGTAGTAAAGACCGGCAAGCATCATATCTAGGTTATTAATATGAGCGTACAGGAAAGCCACAATATTGACACGAAGTGTGGAAATCTTATTGAGCCCGCTAAGCAGATCTCTGACGCCTGCCGTATGGGCAACCGCTATACTTACGGTTATGTCTCCAGGACCATAGTCGACGGGTCCCAAAGCTACCCGTACTTAGTGGCTATCGGTGACGATTATGCGTTTGAGCCCTAGCCAAAGCCGAATTGACCTTATGGTTAAGCCTACTAGATTTTAGATGGCGGTTGGCATGAAGTTCATGAAAGATGTAGTCGGACTGCAACTTAGGGAAGAGTGGATGTCAGAGTTTTTCATTGTCTCACAAATGCCTGTGGAATATGTTTGGAGAATAGAAATATCATCATGTCAACCAATTTATCGTTCGCGGTAAAGGATCTACAGAACTCCGTGGAAGGCTGTTTTGGCCGCTCCGATCAGGGAGCATGAAATCCTGGCTCAACCCGCTGGTATGCCGCTAGACTTAAATATACAGGTGGCCGCGAACAGTCTGGGTCTGGACGGACTGTGGCGTATTGACACAACTCGTTCACTGATGGTCGTCTTTATCTAAGCATAGACAATTCTTGTATATTTCAGGTTTCTGTCTTATGATATCTTTCGCTCCTTATTGATTATTCTACAGCTATATGGGGAACTTCGTCTGGTGGGTTGTTGCAACCAATGAGAAATTAAATGTGATTGGTTGGCCAAGATGCAGATATTGAGGAACAATTTAAACCCATGAGAAGCTCAGCACAAATAGCTTTTAATGATGGAACAATCACTAGAGGTCACCCCTAAAGGTTATGGTGGTCTTGGCTGGCGTGGCTCGCCATTGTTAATCCCTAGTCAAGATCTGCTCATCATACATCTGATCTATTCGAGCTTTCTTTCATCACCACAAACGTAGACAGAGGTCACCGCCACAAAAATAGTACTACACAAGAGCACCGCTCAGATTGATCACAAGGAAACAAGGCTGTAGTATGGCATGGCTCCTGAGAACGGAGGCAACCTCAAGGGCTCGGATTTCTTGGTTTAATAAAAAGAGCCTTTGCGCGGACTGCCTCGATCATGGCTCCTGTTTTTGCGTCCGGAATCTTGATGCATCCTTCCATATACATCTTGCGCCCTTCTACCTTGACCGGCTATATGCTGAAAGACAGAGGGGCCTGAGGATTAACAGGCCGCAAATAAGATAGTGTCAGATTGGCCGTAAGTGCTCCCCGGCAGCAGTCAGCGAAAAGGTTGTCCATGTAAAATGCTTGAATTCCTCCATGAAGCTTTCCCGGGTAGTAGCAGATTCGTTGTCGGGGTTCCAGGCTGGTCATATATTCAGCCTCTTTGCCAACGTCAACTGTCCGGATAATCGGCTATAACCACCCATCAGGGCTTTCTTCAGTACGTCACCTGGGAGCCACTGGGACCCGACACACACAGCATTAGTGACACCCCCCCAATAAGCGAATGATCAAAAACTTACCGTTCTGGAACTTTTCTCTGCCACATTTGCAAGAGGAGAGTAGAAAGAGTTCGTGTGGTAGGCCGCCTTCAAGCAGTGCTTCCGAGCAGTCTGCAACCGGCTGCTCGGTACTGTCGTCGGAAAGGCGCGCATCGCTTCGAGAGTATTATCCTGACAGTAGTTTCTCTCGTTTTGCCCGGGGCCCGTCAAAAGACTGCTCCAAGCCAACTTCGATTTGCGACTTGTTGTATACCCGTTCTTCAAGAACAGTTATGCATTTTATAACCTGAGAGATCCCAGTCACCCGAGGAGCGGCAAGATTGCTATTGTTTCAAGCCTTCCAGAGCGCATATCAGTCATCAGCAGACTTTTTTTTTTTTTTTTCTGTGGTTGAAATCTCTGGTTGAACCGCATGATAAAGAACCAACGTTCCTAGGAGGAATGAACGTAAGGCACAGTGGGTCCAGGTTACTAGAGCCGGAATGGACCTTCCCAAGACGCGCCAAAAGGTCAGTAGAACTGGATATTGCGCTGCTAGCACACGAGTAACTGTGTGACATCGCCCTTTGCTGTATTTGCTTATCTGTTTCTAGAACGAGCTTAGCCTTGACGCACTCAGCGAGGTTGATCTCATTGTCCAAGTACTATTATGCTCCTAACAAGGCTCTGAAACTACCAGAGCGTCGTTGAAAAGATGTTTACCGAAAACAAGATGTCCGCAGATTCCAAGGACCTGTAAAATAGTCGACAGGTTGCCAGAACTTTACTAGCCCTCGCTGGGAATGTGTAAGCCGCCAGTGACGGTGACAGTGACTCTATTACTAACCGATGCTGTCGATTGGTGTGGAGACGGAGCTTGAGGCGCTGGACGGAGAGCGCAAGCCGCTGCTGGCGCTCCACGAATCCATACCAGAGCAAGCTGCTTGATCCTGCTTGAAGTTTCCTGGCATGTCCGTCGTCCCTCAATCGCATCACCGGAGCTAGGGAAGGGGAGAGGGGAAAGTTGGGGGCGGGGAAAGATGTTGATAGCGGATGTCCACGCCTTCCATAGCGGGTCAGCCGTTGATGCTGGCAACGAACATGGTAGGGAAACTGGAGGAGCCCTTCTCGCCCTCAAGCTGGTCCGTAATCGCGCTTAGTGGGGCTGCAGGTGACGACTATGGGACACAGTTCATGTACATCTCGTGCTTGCTGATACGGTTTGACCCAATCCAGGCCAGTGCGTATTTACCGGGCTTGATGACTACCCAGGTAGAGACTCTAGAAGGCTCAAGGTCAGTGGCCAAATTGACCTGGCATGAACCAGCCCCATGAGTGGCGCCACCGACGAAAATCAAGGGCGGGACTTCAACGATCACTTTCAAACGGCTGGATCTATTCACCTATAACCGCGGGATCTTCACATGCTGCCTGAATGACATCTATTATCCGCGAATATAGCTCTGTACTCTCTTTCTCCCACCGTCCACCGTTTGGGAAGACCACCTTTCGCAAACGATTCACCCAAGCAACTAGAGGCTTATAAAAGCCGGTAAAGTATTCGTTCACCATGCTGATAAAATCACCTTCGTGAGCTACAGCTCCTTTCTTCAACTCAGCAAGCTCTTCCATGTCCACATAGTTCCATTTCTCAAATTTCGGCACGACTCTGCCCGCAGTTGGTCCCTCATAGTGGATGCAAATCCAGAAAATAATCCAAAAAAAAGATTCCAGATCATGCATGAAGGAGTGCCGCTCACCAAGGAGCAGACCAATCGCCATGAATGCTCTTGTTCCAGTCTTTGCTCTGGCTCCAGAAGGCCGCTCACGTCGCTCCTTGATGGCCAAATCCAGGTCAATAAGGAATGCCGGCCAGGATGGATTGTCTTCCTCCTCATTGAGAATAAGGTTTCCAGTCGAGATATCACCTTGAAGAAGTCCTGTATTTTTATGCAGGGATTCGTAACCTTGTAAAAATTCAGCAAGGGACATCTAAGATTGGCCAGAGTCAGACCCACCTTGTATGCAACGCTTGACTGCAGAAAGCATGGAAATCCTGCTTCTCGCTTTATAGATAGCCGTCCCGTAGTCGCTAACTATGACACGACGATGTACTCGATTTTGCAAGGCAGGACCATGATCATCCTTGGAGGGTGAGCTCGAACAGGTGCGTTTGTTTGGCGGCAGTGCGGTGCTGGCACGACTTGATGACCTCTTGCGCGCTACACTCCTGGCACTTCGGTCTCTCCTTGCCATGCCAGATGCACCTCGCGAATTAACAGATGTCTCAGGACATATCGATCGGTAGTTTGTCACCTGGGTCACATCAAGCCCTTTGCGAACATTGTAAGAAATGTCATCGACCTTTCCACCTACTTGCACCGTTTCATGATAGTAATACCTTGCAACATTCACCACACCTTTCTCCGTTGCTTCAGCCAAAAGTTTGCCTTCCTCTTCTCGCTCTGGATACTGCCACGAGTCTTTGATTACAAGCGGCGTATTCGTCTTGTCCCCCTCGCGGTGGGCTTTCCAGCAAGTCGTGGCTCGGCCAGCAACACACGGGGCCCGCTTCATAAGGCTGTCCAGAATAAGTCGTTCTGACTGCCCATTGCGTACTATATCAATGAATCTTTTTCCATCCGAATTGGACATGACGGTGGGGTCATATCCTAACTGTGCATCATTCATCAGCAGAAACCCTAGCATGACTGAAACAAACCGACGACCATCTTCATTGATATTGAAAGGAGATGATGCAATGGCTCCCACGCGGTCGAACTCCCACAGTCGCATGATTGACCCACATAGAGTAAAGCCCAGGACAAACCGGCGAGTGTCTTGGGTAGTGAGAACCTCCCTTGCATAACGTCCCAGATCACGCCACGTCTTCGAGGCACAATCTTCTTTAGGGTTACTCTTCAGCTCCCCTAGAATCAGAATGTGCGACCAATGAGGTTTTTGATTTGTTGCATGTGGGTCGCAAACAATACCAATGTCCAGCTTGCGGTCAGCGGTGGATCCCGCCAACACTCGATCAGGTTGTGCCAAAACCGTACGTGGAGATGTTAGGCGAAAACCTTCTTCAGTGGCCATGTCTCGAAGTCGTTTGAGCCAACTAGACAGCCAATCTAAGACGTCCCTTTCCTTCGCGCTTGTAGGCCAGTCTCGCCACCCATTTTCAGTGAACAGGGGGTTATTTCCTTCCTGGCATCTTTGAAATAAGGTAGCACCGGATGGTTCCAAACCCTCGATACTACCAAAATACGCCTCATAGAACCCTTGCACACCGATGTAGGTTGGCCCGAGCTCCTCCTTTAAAACGGCATCTATGTGCTTCCGCTGCTCGGAGGAATTCACGAAGCTACTCGTGGTATGTAGAAATGGTGTTTGGTCGAGGAAGGGGGGAGGTTTAGGAGGAGGGGTGGATTCGGCAAGGACGGCAAGGGCTTCGTCCCAAATTCGATTGTCGGACTCTTCTTTAACAACGGTAGTAAGCAGTGGGATTAGCCGATCGATCTCAAAGTCGTCGGTGCTGATCGCAGAATTAAGTCTTAAGACATCGCTCAATAGGTTCCTGCGACTGTTCACGGACGGTCGCTTTCGCAGATCTGGCAAGCTTCGTAGCACAGAGACTAGGTCCAGTGCCAGGTTTTGGATGTCTATGAAAGGGTTAGAAAGCTGTATGCCACATAATCTGAACAATTACCTTCAATGTCCAACCGACTCAACGCATCAGGAGAGGGAGGAAGTTCTAAGCTGTAGCAAGTTGATCGGAAACTCTCCCGAATCCTGTCCAGCTTGTCTCCAAGTGCGGGTGTATCTGTATGAGACGCATTGAACATCTCATTAACCGTAAGGAAAGTGAAAGAGTGCAGGTTTATGGTTTGGAATTGTGACTGGGAAGTCAGGTGGTTAAGAGAAGGTTGGAATACAACTGCAATGCGGTGTCGAAGGCGGAACGGGCTTAGCAACTGGGACGGACGGATAAACTTATATCCTGCGACAGTCAGCCGTTACTGGCACAACGCTCTGTGCTAGTGATATGTCAGCGACTTCATTGGTGGGCATAGTCAGTGTTACCTATCTATGGTGCTTGGTTGGATGGGAAGGCCCGCAATATGTCCGACTAAGGTTGTTATTTCCACTGCAAGCTGGCATACTATGTACAGCCTTGAGTAGATATTGAAAATTATAAGCTGAGGCAGATCAATCGTTGAGACAGCGGGTTGGTTGCTCCCAACCTGACTGCTTATATCCTTCGCTTTCCATCCCGTCCCCTTTCCTTATTCCGGTTATTCTTCATACCCGCAAAAATCAAACCCAAACCTCACCGAACTCGCAGCGGTGCGGGTTCGGGGGTAAGCCTAGGGAACCGCTTCGGGTTCGGTTAGGCTACCTCTGACCCGATCTGGGTTAGGTGAAAACCGCGGTTTTCGGTTTTTATGGTTTTTCGAGTTAGGTTTAACCAACCCGCACCGTTTTACCTAGAAATCATTAAATTCTAAATATTTTTAAATGATATAAATATTATTTAAAAATAACTAGTGGTTGTTGAGATATAAGGGAATAATCATTTCTGTCATAGGTTAGTAAAAGCAGAACCCAAATACCTATAGTGTAGCAAGAATCCGCCTTCATGATTCGCCATCTCATGCTGCTGTCCTTACTTCTACCGGCAAGTGCACAGCCGGCAGAAGACAATCTGCTGGACATCCAGACTTATTGGAATCCATCCGCCTATGACTTTCCAGTGCTTGGTACCAGTGGCTCCTCTCTGTTTCCAATGCGACCTTGTCATGGAATACAATTGGAAGAAGCGACCATCGACGATTTGCAGGAGTACCTATCCTCTGAGAAATTGACGACTGTTCAGCTGCTTCATTGCTATCTGGACCGTATTCTCCAGACGGATAGTTACCTCAAGTGAGTATCTGTTCTACTGCATAGCGGTAACCACAGTTCATTTTGCTGAATCAAGCACAGTGCCATCCTCCAGCACAATCCCGACGCGTTTGCCATCGCGGAGGCCTTGGATGCTGAACGCGCTCATGGCAAAATCCGAGGCTCTCTACATGGTATTCCTTTTATTGTCAAAGATAATATCGCGACCAAGGACCGCATGGAGACGTCCGCTGGAAGTTGGGCTCTCTTGGGGTCGGTGGTGCCACGCGACGCGTTTGTTGTGCGGCGGTTGCGGGAAGCGGGGGCGCTGTTGCTGGGGAAGGCTGCTCTGAGCGAATGGGCTGATATGCGATCTAACAACTACTCTGAAGGTTATTCTGGTCGGGGAGGTCAGTGTCGCAGTGCATATAACCTCACAGTCAATCCCGGGGGCAGCAGCTCTGGCTCAGGCGTGGCTGTGGGAGCCAACCTTGTGCCTTTTGCTCTTGGTACAGAGACGGATGGCAGTGGTGCGTGCTCTTTCTCAAATAGAAGTCCTACTTCAGAATATCTCTGACAATCGCGGAATAGTGATCAATCCAGCGCAGAGAAATGCTGTTGTTGGTATAAAGCCTACAGTGGGCCTCACGTCACGCGACGGCGTTATCCCTGAATCGCTGCATCAAGATACGGTGGGAGTATTCGGGAAAACGGTGCGCGATGCTACCTACGTTCTGGACGCTATCTATGGTATTGATACACGGGATAATTACACCTTGGCCCAGAGAGGCCGGACGCCCCCCGGCGGCTATAGTCAGTACCTGAGCGACCGATCATCTCTCAAGGGGGCCGTGTTCGGCCTTCCATGGGAATCTGTGTGGCGCTTAGGCCGTCCAGACCAAATATCCCAGCTGATGGAGCTTTTAGATTTGATTAAAGATGCCGGTGCTACCATCATCAACGGCACTGAGTTTCCCCATTACCGTCAAATCGTGTCACCGGATGGATGGGACTGGGACTATGGCAGTAGACGTGGATATCCCAACGAATCCGAGTACACCTACGTCAAAGTCGACTTTTACAACAACATCAAAGCCTATCTCTCGGAACTGAACAACACCGATATGCGATCTCTGGAAGACTTGGTCGAGTATAATAAAGCTGATTTTGGGACAGAAGGCGGCTACCCCGGTATCCATCCGGCATTCGGTTCGGGGCAAGATGGGTTTGAAGCGGCTTTAGCTACAAAAGGCGTCATGGACGAAACGTATTGGCAAGCATTGGAATTCTGCAGACGAACTACGCGCGAAGAGGGAATCGATGCAGCATTGAAGCACGGAAACCGCACTCTGGACGGCTTGTTGGTACCGCCCGATGTGGCCCAAAGCATTCAGATTGCGGCACAGGCGGGATATCCTGTGATCACAGTACCGGCTGGTGTCAATGAGGAATCAGGGATGCCGTACGGGCTTGCTATCCTACAGACTGCCTTTGCCGAACCAAGTCTGATCAAATTCGCCAGCGCCATTGAAGACCTGCAGAAGGCCACGAATACTCCTTGGAAACGTACCCTTCCCGAGTGGCGAGGGTATCTGACTCGCAATCTGCCAGTTATCAATGCATGAATCGACTGAATCAATCACTACATTGATACCTATGACTGGACAGTAGCTTAAGGCAAAATCAGGATCTATCCTGCATGGGCTCATAGACTTTGCAATTTCTGTACAATATAAAGCGAGTGAGGTAATGGTTAAAGGGTCATGGGTGCATCACAAGTAGTTGTTCCACTTTATTGCGACTCAAGAAGTAACTCTATAATCATTCAAAACTTTAGCTCATTGAAATAATCCTAGGCGTAACGATAAGGAGGCGGCGGAGGGTGGACTTGCGATACCACTGATGCACCTGGCGATGTCTTCTTTGACGGCCGTCGACAACAGCTGCAGATCATGCAGTCCAAGATGGCAAGCACCAACGCACCACCAATACCAGCCGCGAGACCAATAACGAGTGATCGATGCCGTTCCACCCATGACCTCTCATCCGCCCTGCACTCTCCATTGGAACACCGCGAGGTTGGGGATCCCGCACCATCATCCCTGCAGCGTTGTCCATCGGACAAAACCTGGTCCGCGGGACATATGGTCGAATTGCCGGTACACGTCTTCTCAACATCGCATGGGCCGGTGCTCGGACGACAGACCGTATCCGCCGAAGCAAACTGGCAGTTGGTGCAGCACGGACTCGCGGCGTCATCGCAGACAGCCCCGACTCGCAACCGGCAGGTCGATCCATCACAGCAACTGTTCTCGGCGCAGGTGGCGCCGCAGTCGCATTCCTCGCCGACCTCCACGATGCCATTCCCGCACTGCCCGTCTGTGATGGTGGTGATATTGCTGTTGCTGACCAGGCAGCTCGTGCTGACGCGCCCGGAGCTGAGTTGGGAGCAGATGTTCCGGACGCTGCATGGAGAGAACGCCGACTGTGAGGGCGAGGAAACCGGGTTCATTATGTATTGGCCGTTTGCGTCGCAGGTCGAGGAAGATAATGGACAGCACTGCCCCTGAGCAGAAGCGCACAGCGTCGAATCACAATCATGGACGGCTCCGAATGTGTGGCCGGACTCGTGACTACAGAATTCCCAGTTGGGTCAACATGACGGATTGGTTGTGTGGCAATGAGAGAGACTTACGCGAAAACCTGCCATTCACTGCGAGTGCGTGCCACCACATTTGCACCAGACGCGCGTTGCTGTCCCCGGTTGGAAGTACACAATTGGCCTAGCCAAGAGACACCGACATCCTGACCCGACGGACACCCGGTCATCAGCGTCTAGTATGCATTATCATCATTGAGGGAACCCCGCTAGGACGTGAATCGACTGAGTCTCCAGTTCAGATCTCCTGCAGAGCAGTCGGCATTCCACGACGTTGAACTGGAAGGAGTGCTTGGGCAGTCCCGATCGCTAATGGTCAGGTCGTGGAGGGCGAGCGAGATGTTGAAGGTCCGCTCGTTGACTTCCGAAGCCGTATTCACCATGTTGATGATGTTTCGCCGGAGCTCATCGCTGGACGTGAACGAGGCCGAGTAGGAGCAATCGGTCGCGATGCCTACTAACGCGACTCTTCTGGTGCTAGGGCACGGTAAATCTTCGTCTGTGATGAAGGGATTCCCTGAAGACTGCGGCGATCGAGGTGCTAATTGGTCCCATGTGTGGTATGCAGAATGATAGTGAACAACCATCTGTGGTTCCCTGGTATTTCCGGGTCCTGATATTATCGTCACCTGGTACTGCTGACCGACAACGCTGAAGATTCCTTCAAACAAAGGATCATCTCCATCTGGATGGATGTATATCCGCGCCCAGCCAACGTGATTCCAAGTTGCGCCTGCACCAATGCGCTGCGTAGAGACAAGTCCTTTGAATACCTTGTGTTGGGCCTTGTTCACGGCTTCCGTCCTGCGAACTACGCCGTCTGCACCGAGGTACCGGACACGGGACCCTTGTGTGAGGATATCATGGTTCGGCTCGAAGCTCAACTTTAGCGCTCCCTGCCCGGGAAGGCTAAAGGACAACTCAAAGTGTGAGTGGGCGTCAACTCGATGAGACGGTGTATGGATAATGATATTCTCGAGTCGGGTCTCACTATCCCAGGCGGAGGTTTGTACCGAATGTGCTAAGGACGTTAGGAAGTGTAGTTGTAGAGCAAGTCCACACATCTTACCTGCGACATTTAGTTTCACAGCAGCAATCAGACCAAGAAAACTGACGAGTTTGGGAATCTTCATGGCTAGCTCCCTGGAAGCCTCTCACATCACGGAGCAACCAACATCCTCTCGAAGATGGCCCGATAGCAGCATGTTCATATATGTATTGTCCGCCACTTCAATACGAACAAGCTAGATAACCATATCAAAGATCTGATAGAGCATGTCACAGTGGATTCCTGCTAGGCATCCAAATAAATCAAAGACACTAGTTGCGATTCCCAGTGTCAAATCTATGTGATGAAGGCCAAGAGAGGGACTCGTCATCTCGGAAGAATCCAATCGAACAGAAGGCTCAAAGATCAACAGTATGGTCCACTGGTCTGGCTTTGACATGGCATCTGCACAGCCACTGGCTACCAATTACGCTCTGCCCAGTAGCTGACGGATGTCTCGGAGACAAGGCGATAACTCCAGCCAAGGCGACGGGTACCGACCGATCATGAATTCAAAAGGGAGACATCGTGCTTTATAATCAACGATAAGGTGGCTATGCTGCTTTCCCACTGGATCTTGACCAACAATGCCGGATGATACTGGCACAACAGAGTCCCAGTATGGAATAGCGGGCGGAAAAACTGGGGTGCATTGCCGGCGGAAAGTCTTGGCTGTCAGCAACTCGCATAAAGCCCGGAAAGATTCCGATGCTATTTGTAGGATCCAGTCGGACCGAATTCTCATTGGTTAGGCATGGAGTTTCAAAGGCGGACGTTAACAATTGTGCTGGATGAGCTGACATCCTCGCGTCGATTTCGACGATGATGTAGGTCCATGGAGACATGCAGAATCACCATCACCTGCAAAAGCTTCACGAAAGTCGTCGCATATATCATTGTATTTCTTTCTATGCTGGGTACCAGTGACTGGGGGAGTCAACAACAGCGAATCTTAGGCAGATCTCTGCTCAACTAAACGTCATCAAAAGAGAAAGGTTCGTAGAAGTGATAAGAGCTTTGAACCTGTGTATGTTTCTTATTTCTCTTCCGATGAGTCCACTTACTAATTATTTTGGTCAATTTCTTATGGCCTGAGGCTAAGACTGGCGAGGTTGCCTGTTTGCCTTAGTATCCAGGCATCAAGTTCTTGTTGATACTTGAAGCCCTCTATGAGAGTCCTCCGTCAAGAACGAGGTAGAAGGGCCACAGAAGTCATGGATTATGCTAGATCCAGTTCTAGAATCTGTCGTTCAAGACTAGAAACCGCGTCTTTTATCCGGCATTACGGCGGACTATTTGTACAAAAAGGACTTTTGGTTTTTTTACAATGATTACATCTCACCACACCACCCCTTAGTACGGTCGCACGCACTGCAGTAATATTAAAGTAGTAATTATTAAATAGTAATTATTGAATTCCCATATAGTAGGGATATTGAATCAAATCCTCATATAGTAAGGATATCGAATCGAATAGTATCGATATCAAATTCTTATATAGTAGGGATATCGAATTGAATAGTATCAATATCGAATTCTCATATAGTAGGGATATCGAATCGAATTGAATAGTATCAATATCAAATTCTCATATACTAAGGCTATTGAATCGAATTGAATAGTATCAATATCGAATTCTTATATAGTAGGGATATTGAATTGAATAGTAGTAATATATAATTCTTATAGAGGTATAGTAATAGGATATTAAATACCACTATACATATATATATTCTAAATATGTAGTATAAGTGGTGGGGTACACCCTAAGTCCTAAATATATAAATTCTAACTACTCTATATACAGGGGCACTACCTTAGTATATAAGGATTAAATATTCCTACTATATAAGAATTCAAGATTAATACTATTTAATTCGATATCCCTACTATATGAGAATTCAATATTAATACTATTCAATTCAATTCGATATCCTTAGTATATAAGAATTCAACATTAATACTATTCAATTCGATATCCTTACTATATGAGAATTTGATATTGATACTATTTAATTCAATTCGATAGCCTTACTATATGAGAATTTGATTCGATATCCCTGCTATATGAGAATTCGATTCGATATCCCTGCTATATAAGGATTTGATTCGATATCCCTGCTATATAAGGATTTGATTCGATATCCCTACCATATGAGAATTCGATATTGATATAACTTTTAATGTTGTGTGGAGGTAGTGGCAATAGGTAATACATGCGGCAAACAGTAAAAAATCCAAAAGTCCCTTTTGTACAAATAGTCCGCCGTAGGCATATTCCTGGAGACCGAAATCAGACTCGTACCAAGAGCTCGCGATACTTGGTGACATGTCATTGTTGGAGAACATCACGTTCCACAGGATCTTGTGCCATCTTATCAAAAGTTCTCGGCAGAATCATAACTTCGGTGCCCATTTTCTGGGTTTTACATGGCGACATATGTCGAGCTATGGTATCTGGCCACGCATTATGCCGTCCTTGTGCCCCACAGGCAGTTATGACGTGTTGCAATGCATCGATTGCGAGGTGATGAGAATATCCAATCAATCAGTCAGTCCACAGGGGGAGAATCCGGCTAAAATCAGCGTTGGTTGTTCCAGCTCTACTCGATTCGAAAGGGAGAAATTTCCCCTCCTCAGTATTCTGCCGACAACCTGAATCAGCTCCACCCCCTGATTGAGACAGAATGAATCTCATGGTGCTTATGATTGGTACGCTCGAGACGGTCTTGTCAGCGCTAAAGTCACCGGCGCCAGTCCATCACCGTTTCCCTGCTTAGTTTCTTGACTAACCAAGTACTAACCAGCCGTTCATGAGAATGATTGCGATGCCGAGCCGGCAGCGGGCATGGCGTCTCGTAGCGGCAGCCACGAAGCTTAACAATATTGAAGATATCGAGGACATACATTTCCAAGTTACAACGCCAATTTTTCCCCGTTGTTAGACTTACCCACAGTCCGAACGATGATTCCCACTATTCTGAACTGATCATGACAAGGAAATGGACCTGTGGCCCCACGGGGATAAAGGCCGGGGAAAAGTGGACCACTCCCATTCAGTCTATTACCGCCATTGGTTCAGGGTAAATCCATACCGATCATTGTCGAAAGTCGTATCGTACACAGGATGGGGTAATGAATGGGCTGATGGGAAGGCTTTCGCCGGTTCTGGTCGGCTATCGGGTTGAAATCAAGCATTTGTTGGCAGTAGAAGCCCTCGCAGAACTTCCTTGAGTGCCGATTGTTCCCAAGCTACAGCTGTGTTTTAACTATATATTTGATGACAATCGTACCTGTCTTTTTGTTATCTGGTCTCTCGCTAGCAGTGCTCGATCCTGCTTTTTTATCTTCTGTTCATCCACTTCTGTACACCATAATATCATAATGGCCGGGGGTATGACTTCCCAAGACATCTCGGCCAAAAGAGCCGAACTAGCCGGAGGTAAGGTCGGTTGGCGTGGCTTGATCACCAGCAAGAAGACCTTTGGTATTGCCTTGTTCGCGTCTCTGGGTGGCTTGGTTTATGGATGTATGATGCGTCTTCTATTGCTCTACTCTTAAGGAATGATTCAAGGCTGACGATACTAGACAACCAAGGAATGTTCGCGCAAATTTTGACAATGCACTCATTCATCGAAGCAGTATGTGATTTTCCATGACCCAACGTCGATAGTGGCTCACGTTAATAATACCCATCCTACGGAATACCTGTCAAAGGTCCGTTACACCTGAACATCATTCATTTGGCTAAAACAACACCAGCATGTTTGGATATACACCCAATAGTGATATATACCTCGTTCCCAGTAGAATTTATATCCACTATCTTGAGTGCGCCCAATATCTTCACTATCCAGTGGCTGGACACTTTGTCTTGGTGGATAGCCTTACGGACAAAGAAAGAGATCTTGCCGATGAATCTGTGACGTATCCAAGTCGACTATCAAGACGAAGCAAGTAGAGAGGTATATGGAATAGAGATGTGACTACTCCGTAAAGCACGGATAAATGGAGATAGATGTATTTAGCCTGACTTGAGATGGCCGAGCGTATCTGTGTAGAATTGTGCCGAGGTATGTCCGACGAGCTTTAAGCACTTGCAGAGTGATGGCGTGAGGCTTGAGATGCCCGTAAACAATATGAGTCCAGATGCTTTGGCGTCATATTGTGGAATTTCTATCCTCATGCTGAAACGAAGACACTAATTGAGGTATGGAGCAATTGATTGAGAATACATAAAGCACTCGGGCTATTCTTGCTTGCAACACTTTAATTACGGAGTTATGCTGAGATATGAGCATGACTGCCTGGCTTGAATACATGTATCATTCATTGGCCATTCTCTACAGCATGTGCCATATCGCCCAGAGTGTCAAACTTCCAATCGTAGATAGTATCCTTGGTGTTGCCCATAATAGCTCCCGGCCTTACAATCCAGACCGACTTGATCCCCACTTTAGAGGCAGGCTGGTGGTCATGGAACTGACTCTGAGCAGTCTGCAGGACCTGACTCTTGTCGACTCCCAGCTCGGCCTGTACAGTCTTCAACATGTACTCGAAATTGCGCAGGTCAGGCTTGTACGAGCCCACGTCCTGCGCGGTGATGATGCGATCGAACTTGACACCCTGCAGACTCCCCGCGTTCGTCTTGGCGAATGATTCCCGGTCGACGTTTGATAGGACGACCAGCTTGTAGTGCTTGGACAGTCGCTTGAGAGCATCGACTGTGTCGGGGAAGGCGGGCCATGTCCCGACTGATTCGCCAAAAGCGATACTCTCCTCTTCGGTCGGTGGTGCGAGGGAGAGGCGCCGAGCAAGTTTGGGATGGATTTTTGCCAGAAGTTCGGAATATGGCATGTCTGGTGTCAGAGCCTGTTGCTCATGCTCGAGCTCATGGTAAACATTTAGGAGATGCTCGCGTGAGACAGATGCATTGTTCTTGTCGAGGATCGGCTGGAAGGCGTTCACGATCCCGGATTCCCAGTCGACTAGGGTCCCATAAACATCGAAGCACAGCAGGCGGTAGTCGGAGAGTTTTGACATTTTGATATAGTAGAAGATGAAAAAGATGAGAATATTTGGAGA